CGACCAAGGTGAACCTTGATGAACACATTGTCCTCGCTGATCCTGATCCTAAGGCCGTTGCGGCTGCCAGCGACCCTACTGTCGGTGATTTATATGTCGAAAACTACACCGCTGGTCTCTGTAGTTCCCAACTCGACTACTCTCGGCCGCCTTGGGAAGTTCATATCCTTGCCATACGAACGTCGGAGGCCGCCTGCATCGCCGTCCTCCACCTTAATCACTCCATCGGTGACGCAACCTCCCTCTTGTCGCTCTTACATGCCTGCACTCGCCGCACCTCTGACCCTGAGTCCCTTCCATCACTTCCTAAAATACGGCGGCCCCCCACAATTGTAGCTGCCAGCTTTGGCCCCTTCATTTTCCTATGCTGGATCTGGAATTTTCTTATCTACGTGTGGAATACCCTTGTTGAAGTTATCCTCTTTGTCTCCACCACCATCTATTTGAAGGACTCCAAAATACTGAATATGGGGAAAGAGGGCATCAAATATCGGTCTAGGAGGATTGTCCACTGCACTCTTTGTCTTGATGACATTATAGACATAAAGAACACCATTGGTTGCGTAATGTCTTTTAACTCACGTCTCTGTGAGTAAACCTTTATGCTTTCTACAGTGCACGCTAACGGTTTGATTAAATTCCCTATAGACAATAAACGATGTTTTGGTTGGAGCCACTTCTGCCGCTCTGTCTCGTTACCTTAGCAGGAAGTACGGTGGCCTTCTACCCAAACAATTGCTAATAAGAACTACTGTGGTCATCAATATTCGGCGAATATCAGGAATTAATGTGAGGGGAGCACAAATTATTTTGTTTTATTTTAATTGTTTTATAGAAATAGTTATTATTGTTATTCTGTATATTATGGCGAATTGCGAGCAGGATTTAGCATATATGATGAAGCAAGGCAGTGAAGCGAAGTGGGGTAATCGGATTGGCTATTTTTTGCTTCGGTTACCTGTAATGAAGTGCGAGGATCCATTGGACTATGCAAGGAATGTTGCAGCAAACACAGAAAAGAAAAAGAAATCATGGGCAGCGACACTTTCTTATAAATCTGCTGTCATGATTTATAAGTGTCTGGGCACTAAGGTACGCTGGATATTATTCATTTTTACTGAAGCACACAATTTTTTCTTGAAATTTTGGCTCAATATGTAACACATATAATCTTAAATTACACGAAATTTTCAAATATTTTGCCAGATTTTTTTTAAATATGTGTATGTTTTAACTTGGTAAAATAATTTCC